TGGGGTCTACCGTATGTAGGGTTGACAACGCCGTATCTAGTATAAAGTTGTAAAGTTAATAAAAACAATAAAAACAAATACAATATCCAGTACAACTATAGAAAATACGTTATAAACGTATGAATTTAATATAGTATACACAGTCTTTAGAATAATACATTATATACGTATGGATTAAATATACCGTATCCTTCATTTATAATATTTTTTGCGAACAGTATACAAAATACTGATATACAGTAGAAATAGTATACGTTTCAAACGTATGAATTTAGATACCGTATCACACAGTATATTTACCGTATACTTTATTGTATTTTTTGCTAAACACATTTTGCGAACAGTATACATTATACTGTTATACAGTATATAAAAATACGAACCGTATCAAAGATACATGTATACAGTGTAAAAACCGTATGCATATTTTTTATAGGGTAGGCATTATACAAACAGGAGCCTTTTTCATTCAGAAAGAGGAATGAATAGATTGGGAGATCATCCAAAGAACCTATGATATCTGACATATCTCTAGGTGGTGATAGGAAAATTTCCTGAATGGTATTTAGCAAGTCCTTGGAAGAAAAATTATCATTAAACTTTTCCTGCCTTAAAGAGTACTGAAATGATGGGATCGTGGTAATGCTGGTTGAGGCGCAGGTAGCTTCTTCATTATCTGACCCATAATTAGACTCATAGTCATTATAACCATCTGACCTTAAGTCAGATCTATTATCAGTACAACTGCTCAAATCACTTAAATATTCATCGGGGCCGGCACCGTCATAGCGGGTGAGAGTTTCAGTGTGATCAGTTTGGTCAAAATTAGTTGGTGTATGCATGTTGTTAGTTTGAAAATGTTTATATTACTTTATAAAATTCGGAAATGTTTAATTATTTTTTTTCGATAAATACAAAAAGAAATGATAGCGAACTTAGTAGGAAAAATGTAAAAGAAAGACATCCAGATATATCTGTAAAAATGAAGCTTTCTGCAGAATTATATTATATAAAAATGGCAGAAGGCTTCATTTTTAGATAAGTACTCGGGTATGATATAGCCTTCGCGTAATATAGAGGCATACCAAAAAGAGATACGAAGTTGGCACCTCCAATTCTCTAACCAAATGATCCACTAGCCCAAACCCCAAATGCCACTCAAATATTCCTCAAATATCCCTTAAAAGTTGCGGAAAGGGAAGACTAGAGCCTGGCCACGTGATATCAAAAATTTAGGCGCAGTAAGTTAACGATAATTTTGGCAAGATTTTTGGATACAATAATTCAGCATTCATGGTAGGTGAACTAATAGAATATCCCTGAATTGATACTGTGCTGGATGTCATCTGACACCGAGCCCTCTGGGATCACTATCATATGATTCTCCTAACAATATGTGTATGGAGTATCACTTGACACAGAGCCCTTTGGGATTACTATCATATGATTCTTCTAACAATATATGCGTAGAGTATCACAAAAACTTTAGGCGCAATAAATTAACAATATATGCATAAGTCACTGAGCCCTCTGGGACTACTATCATATGACACTCCTAACAATATACATATCTACTCGCGACACCCATTTTAGAAAAAAAAAATGATGTGTAGTAAATTTTGATTAATTTTGGCCAGCACTATTTCATAATTTCAGCCAGAACTTTAGGTAATATTTCGGCATCCAAGCTGGCATAAAAGTGAACTGGAACTGGCAAACTAATAGAACCACTCTAGTTCAATGCCAGTTCCATGACAGTTCTACGGTAGCTACCAGGTCACTATCAGGTCACTACCATGGCGCCAGGCTGGATCCTCAAATCACATGCCCAAAAGATCGGCTGGAATTATGACATAGTGTCCAGCCAAAATTAATCGCAGATTTACATCGAAATACTGCGCCACTCGACACCATATTTTTTTACCACATTTCAGCATCTAGAAAGGCAACCAAATAGGCACAAAGGGTAAGTACTTCAATATAGAATTTGACATTCAATCAGACGTGAAAGGTCAGTATCAACAATATATAACTTAAATTACAAATAGAGTAGAAACAGGAAGAAAAGAGAGGTACCTAGGTTAAAGT